ATGTGTAAAAAAATATATATATATATATATATATATATATATATATATATATATAGTTTTCTAGTATTTGCAACCCTTCTCTTTTGCGTAGATATGAAACTTCGGGCAATTAAAATGACATTTTTTTTATTCACATAGTTATCGTAAAATGATTTCTTTAATAAAATACCTAATTAGTAATTATGTATACTCTTTTCATATTTTGTAAAGGGGAGCGTACCTGCATGACGAAGATATTCAGGCTGATCATAATATTGAATATGACCCCGAAGACGACGAGAAGATTCCGACGAAGACGATGAAGTCCGACCAATGGCTCCGCCGCGCCGCTGCCAACCGATAAAAAGTCTCCGGCAGTCCGTACGGTGGCGGTGGAAGAAGACGACGTCGCCGGCGCCGAGGTGTTTCTCCTTCACGAACCTGCACCAACCTTTGGTCAACACATAGCTTTGACTACTGTTCCAGTACGAGTACCTAAACCTCCATGGCCACCCTTCCTCGTCCTCGAAGCAGAGGACATGGCCTTTCTCCGCGCCTGCGTTTGCGTTTGCGTTTGCGTTTGCGAGAGGGAAGTGTCGCTCGGCATGTTGTTTGGGGATCACGAGGCGATTGAGCTTGCCGACGTCGCTTGGGGTTAAGGGTTTCTCGAAGAGAGGTTCTTTGGTCGTGTCTTCGTCGAAAACGATGTCGTTTTGGAGGTTTGATTCCATCATGTGGTATTGTTGTTGGTGCTGCCACATGAATGTATGGTCGGTTAAGTCTGTGGTGTATTGGTTTATTGACATTTCTGTTCTGAGAGAAGAGATCAGAGAGAGAGTTGTGGGAGAGATTGAGGACAAATGCCGATGGGAGAGATGACGAGCTTCTAGGGGTTCCATGCATTTATAGTTCTATATATATATATATATATATATATATATATATATTAATGTAATTATGTATCTATCTACGTATAAAGAAACTTTACATTAGGGAAAAAAATTATTAGTGGACAGTTATATCTACTATGCGTTCAACATCTGTGGCAATATGAGTTTAGCGGCGTATAGCTTGAATTTGGTATCCCAATGGACGTCGTGTATTTGTTCTTTGTTTTGATGGTGGAATGTTAACTATAAATAATAAAATTGTCATTCAGATCTTATAAGTGTAACAACCAAAAATTGAAGTAATTGAAATTTATTTACTATCTATATCGTTCTCCACTTTATAAGACTACATTGAAAGGGTTACCAAGTCTTTATATAATCAGAATCCAATGCCAATAATTGCGTCTTTGTTTCACTCATATATATATATATATATGTATTGAGGTGTATTTAGACATGGTGTATGTACACGATGCATGCATGTACGTGTACTTTGTCCGCGCGAGGCACATGTTGTCGTGAGATCCCTCGATGATCTATAGCTCTTACTAAGTGACTTCCCAAGCACGTGCGATCCATTAACTACGTAGACAACACAACAAGACATGCAACCAGCACTTTTTAAAAAAAAAAATTACTTTTGGGACCAAAATGTTTAATGTGTTTTATTTGGAAATATTTTGATATCGGAAAATATACATTTTCCGTATTTGAATTTAGTTTATCTACTACAAGATTGTTCCTATCTATTTCTGTTCACTCATATTATGCGAAACTTATATCAGTAAAATAGTACATTGTGTGGGTAAATTATACCCAATACATATAAAACTTAATACATATATATAAATCATTATGCAAAATATAAACTGAATCATAAAACACATATCTCTAGCCATTGAGTGCTTATTGTTATAATAGTTTTGAATATTTCTAAACTTTAATAAAACTTATGCGATGGTGTATTCTTTGAAAAATCTTGTAAGTTTAGAGATCTAAAACCATCTATTTATACTAATTTTATCTATAAAAAATTAATAAACAATTGTACCCATAGGCCGATCTACACTTGTATAACTGGGACACTTGCCCCCATTCACATTTAAAAAAAAAAAAGAAATATTACTTATCGTTTTTACTTAAATTGTAATATAATGTCCCCTCTAAAATTTAAGTAGTGGATCCATTTTTTTACTCTAAATCTTATTTTCAATTTGTTCTTCTACTAATTTTACATTCTCCTTCATTTTTTTTAAATTCTTTTCCAACTCCAAAATTCTATTTGATCTTTGATAATAAAAAAATTTATAAATTCAATCATAAAAAATAGGTAAGTATTATGAATTTTATTTTAAATGAATTTTTTATATGTTTTATTCATTTCTTTTTATATTTTTATCATATTAATAAATTTATTTTTATATAAATCTCATGTTTGATTTAAGAGAAAAACCAATTGATAAATTGGTTTTAATTTTATCCGTGATGTTGCTACCACGACTATTGAAAAATATTTGAACTTTGTTAAGACAGTTTGCATAGTTAGATTGGTGATCAGTTTTTGAATGATTATTTAATTTGTTTCATCGAAAAAATATATTTTAGATAGTTATAAAATAAAATTGTTATAGATAGATTTTAAAAAAATAAAGATCGTAGAATTTATTTGTAAAACGAAATTTTTGTTTTGTGATGATATGTTTTTTATTAGCTTTTATATTTTATATAATATTTATGATTGTTATCCATTGAAAAAAAAAATTAGATCCGGCCACTGATTATACCATTTTAATTATTCAATAGACCACTTAATAAACAGATTTATTTTCACTTTGAGTTAGTGAATCAATTCTGTAGACTATTAATAATAGAAGAAACCATTATACTATCAATAATAATATAAACCATTAAATTAGAAATAATTCCAACACATTGATATATAGTGTCCATTGTTATATATATATGAGTAGAAAATATTAGTCTAAAAATGGAAACTCTTGATGACAGAATATAAGACAAAAAAAAAACAAAATTAAACTCATTTTTTCACTTCTTCCAATTAATAAAATGTAAGGAAAAAAACATAGTTTGAGATAAAAGGAGAGCAGAGACGGTCGCAGACTAGAAGATTGTTTTGTCATTAGTTTCATCACATGCAATCATGACACTGTATCATGGCTGTTACATTAATTTTCATGTCTTATTTTATTTCTTATATTTTTTTTTATTCACACGTATAATTGGAAAACAAATACGTGTCTGTGTAGAATACCAATAAATAAATAAAATAAATAAATATCGTAACAACGGATACCTTTGTGTTTCCGATGATAGAGATAAGATTTGTCAAATGTCGGTTCGTTCTTTGTTTGAGTCGTGTTTCAATCCTCTCCTCGGATTCCCATCTCAAAAGAACACAAAATAATAAATATGTAAATAAAAATTAACAAAAAATATTATTTAAACTTTCTGTAACTCCACTTTGTGATCTCTCTAGATATTTTTTTGTGCCGCTTTCTTTTTTTGATATATTTTTTTAATTTTTTTGGAACGACGGTTGCTACCATTCGGATAAGCTGTTCGAGTAAGCGTGACGATAGGTGAGTGAAAAAGGAGTCGAACCCCCAACCTCTCGATATGTTGATCATGCTCATTGCCAACTCACTTAAAGATATCCTTTTTTGTGTCGCTTTCGTCTCACCCGCGAGACATTTTCTCAATATGGTCATATTAATTATTGGTTTTGGCCCAATCTCAAAAATTAAAAAAAGAAAAAATGTGTTGCTTATTTTGAAGTAAAATAGGTTGAATTACACTTTTAATCATCAAAGTTCAGCAACGAAAAATCATAATCTATATTTTTTACCATATAAAATCTCGGAATATTATTCATCTTAAGATTCCACTGATTCTTAATCTCGGAATATTATTTATCTGTGGCAATGGCCGAACCATGAAGTCAACGTGACTTCTTAGTTATCGTTTAGAGTATTTAATTGCATATAAATAAATAAAAAACTTTATGGTTATTAATGATCATTATCAGATATGCAAAGCGATTTTAGGATGAGTGACAAGCAACACAAAACAATATCTTAAATGGATTGAAAGAGATTCTATATATAAAGTCCATCTCTACCATTGAGTTTTGAATCATTAATTATTTTTAATCTATGTTTTTATATATATATACACGTCAAGTAGTCTCCCGATATGTGTAAGGTAAGGTCCAGATCCTGTTTACATGTTCATTGCACTCTACTTAAGATTGAACAAGATTTTGTGTAGAGAATTAGGCCAAGAACAATGCATGACATATGCCATGTCCCCCACACATGGAAACCAATTTTTGTACTGATCGTTTTCTACGTGTATGATCGCATTTAATTAGTCATTGTTTGCCTACACTGATGCTTTTTTTATTTATTAGAAACTCTGACAATAAAGTTTTCTAAAATCCATGTTATGCACCATTTCATACTCGACTCGTGGGGTATTCTTAATTATTTTGCATAACAACTCAATTTGCAGCGAACCTACTGCGGAACCAAATTAGGGTCATGACTCATGACGTTGTCGAAATGATTAAATGTAGATACTTAATATTGCATTATTCTTATTAGACGTAGATAATTTAAGTTTTAATCCGGTTATTTTTTAATTTATGTTTTTTTAAGGTTTTGAAAAATATACATATTCAATTTTGTGTTAGGTTAGTATCGATTATATATATATATATATATATATATATATATATATATATATATATATATA